TCACTAGTAACCCCCTCACACTAGTGACAGAGTGAGGGAGTGACAGAGAGAGGGAAGGGGGTGACTAGTGACAAAGTGAGGGAGGGGGTGACTGTCACTAGTCACCCCATCCCTCTCTCTGTCACTAATCACTCCCTCCTAACTCTGTCACTGTGTCACCCCCTCCCTCACTCTGTCACTAATCACCCCCTCTGTCCTTAGTGACAGAGTGAGAGAGGGGGTGACTAGTGACAGAGTGAGGAAGGGGGTGACATAGTGAGGGAGGGGGTGACTAGTGACATAGTGAGAGAGGGGGTGACTAGTGACATAGTGAGAGAGGGGGTGACTAGTGACAGAGTGAGGGAGGGGGTGACACAGTGACAGAGTTAGGGAGGGAGTGACTAGTGACAGTCACCCCCTCTCTCACTCTGTCACTAGTCACACCCTCTCTCACTCTGTCATTAGTCACCCACTCTCTCACTCTGTCACCAGTCATCCCTTCCTTCCCTCACTCTGCCACTAGTCATCCCTTCCCTCACTCTGTCACCAGTCACCCCTTCCTTCCTTCACAATGACAGAGTTAGGGAGGGAGTGACTAGTGACAGAGAGAGGGATGGTGTGACTAGTGACAGAGAGAGGGATGGTGTGACTAGTGACAGAGAGAGGGATGGGGTGACTAGTGACAGAGAGAAGGATGGGGTGACTAGTGACTGAGTGAAGAAGGGGGTGACTAGGGAGAGAGGGGGTGATTAGTGACAGAGTGAGGGAGGGGGTGACTAGTGACAGAGGGAGGGGGTAACACAGTGACAGAGTAAGGGGGTGACTAGTGACAGAGTGAGGGAGCGGGTGACACAGTGACAGAGTTAGGTAGGGAGTAACTAGTGACAGAGAGAGGGATGGGGTGACTAGTGACAGTCACCCCCCCTCACTCTGTCACCAGTCATCCCCTCACTCTGTCACTAGTCACCCCTTCCCTCCCTCACTCTGCCACTAGTCACCCATTCCCTCACTCTGTCACTAGTCTCCCATTCCCTCACTCTGTCACTAGTCTCCCATTCCCTCCCTCTGTCACTAGTCTCCCCCTCCCTCCCTCTGTCACTAGTCTCCCCCTCTCCTTCCCTCTGTCACTAGTCACCCACTCCCTCACTCTGTCACCAGTCACCCCCACTCACTGTGTCTCCCCCTCACTCTGCCACCACTCAACCCCTCCCTCACTCTGCCACCAGGTACCCCCTCACTCTGCCACCTGTCACAACCTCCCACACTCTTCCACCTGTCACCTTCTCCCTCACACACTCTGTCACCTGTCACATATGCATTCACACAGACACTATATACAAAAAAGCACATGTAGTCATCCAGACATGCACAAGTGCATTCACACAGACTCAAATACAAACATGCATTGATACACAGGTCTTCACAATACACACATCCAAAGGAATGCCGTATTATGAATTATATTTAACATTTATTAAAATGCACATATATTTGGCCTTCAAAGGGCCTGGGATCTAATTTTGCCCGGGGGCCCCAAAGGCTCTCAGTCCGCCCCTGCTTAGGAAGTATAGCACAGAGGTGGCTTATGCCCTGTTAGCGGCTGACTCTGAGGCGACCGACACTGCCTCAGAGAGTGACGCAGGGGACAGGGACTATGTGCCAGATACTGCAGGACCATCAGGAGAAATCGCTGATTCCCCTAATGCTGAACATGGCGCAGATGACTGGGTACCCCTAAATAATTTTTCACCAGACATCCCAGAGTACACTGCCAATCCTGGCATACAGGTTGACCTGTCTGGTTATAATGCACTGGATTGTATGCAGCTGTTCTTGGGGGTGAGATTTTTTGGGAGATAGTCACCCAGACTAATCTGTAAGATGAGCAGTATCTGGCACACAATCAAGAGTCTCTTATCGCCAGGAAAGAGAGATGGAACCCAACCAGTGTCCCCGAATTGAAACAATTCTGGGCAGTGACATTGCTAATGGGGATAATTAAAAAGCCCACAATTAGAATGTATTAGTCTAAAAAAAACATTTGCGATACCCCCATTTTTTCTCAGACAATGAGTAGGGACAGATATGAAGACATACTGCGATTTATGCACTTTAGTGACAATACGAATTGTCCCCCAAAAGGTCATCCGCAGTAAGATCTTCTATATAAAAAACGCCTTCTAATTGCTCACTTTAACAAAATATTTGCCACTATTTATACCTCCAAAAAACATATTTCAATTGCTGAATCCCTCATGAAGTGTAAAGGACTACTATAGTGCCAGGAAAACATACTCGTTTTCCTGGCACTATAGTGCCCTGAGGGTGCCCCCACCAGCCGGGCTGGGTGGAGAGGAAGGGGTTAAACTTACCTCTTTTTCCAACACCGGGCGGGGAGCTCTCCTCCTCCTCTCCTCCTCGTCGGCTGAATGCGCATTCAGCCTGTCCATAGGAAAGCATTCACAATGATTTTCACAGTGAGAAGCACGCAAGCGCCTCTAGCGGCTGTCAAGAGACAGCCACTAGAGGCTGAATTAACCCTAACATAAAAATAGCAGTTTCTCTGAAACTACTATGTTTATAAAAATAAAAAAAAAAGGGTTAACCCTAGCTGGACCTGGCACCCAGACCACTTCATTAAGCTGAAGTAGTCTGGGTGCCTATAGTGGTCCTTTAAGGGAAGACTGGGGTTTAACCCCTTAAGGACACATGACATGTGTGACATGTCATGATTCCCTTTTATTACAGAAGTTTGGTCCTTAAGGGGTTAAACAGTACATCCCATCCAAAAGATCCCGATATGGGATCAAATTTTATAAATTGTGTGAAAGTGGCAGTGGCTATGTGTCCACCTTCCGTGTATACGAAGGAAGGGATAGCCACCTTGATCCCCAGGTTGCCCAGATATAGTAGGGACAAGTGGGAAAATTGTCTGGGACCTAATCATGCCATTACTAAACAAGGAATATCACTTGTATATTAATAATTTTTATAATAGTATCCCACTTCTAAAAATGCTGTACTGCTTAGAGGCTGTGGCCTGTGGCACTATTCGGAAGAGTCGCACAGGTTTCCCAAAGACTTTAGCAGAAAAAAATAAAAAGGGGGGAAACAGCAGCTCTCTTCCAGAATAAACTGCTGGCACTCAAGTACCGTGATAAAAAGGAGGTGTTCATCCTAACCACCTTCCATGGTGAACGCACTCGCAGGGTCGCAGTTTGTGGCAAAGGGGAAATTAAAGGGGTGCCAATCTGCATAACACATTACAATGGGGGGAGTTGACCTGTCCGATCAACTGATGCAGCCGTATTTGATCATGCGAAAGACCAGGCATGGTATAAAAAAGTGGGCAAATGCACATTTCTACCATTTCAGTTTCAGCTCATTTCTGGGTTGCTTGAGTGCCACAGAGGGGGACCATCAGTGGAGCTTAGCAGAAGAATGGAGGCAGGTCACTTCTGCTTCAGGACTCCATTAATCCCCAAAAAGAAAACCCCCCAGAAAAGGTACAGGGTGTGTTACAAGAGGGGCGTAAGAGCTGAGACCAGGTATTACTGCCCTGATTGCCCCTCTCAGCTCGGCCTATGTATTGGCCATTGTTTTAAAATTTTCCACACCCAGGCCAAATAAGCAGACTAGTTTTGGGATGTGATTTTAGCAATCTGTTTGGTTACCGAATCTTGGCTTGTCTTCCGTTTATCCTGTCTTCTCTGATCCTTGACCTCAGCTTGTCCTATCGTTGTTCCGTTTCTCTTTACTCTTTTAACATCTGGTTTGTAGTTGCCCGAGACGCAGATGACTGGGCACTACCCCCTGATAAGTTCACGACAAATATTCCTCCTTTCACATCAAATAGTATGCACTTGTTCATAATTTGAGTTGATGAGCTGCTTATATTTAAACATAGATGTGGCCTTTGAGAGGTAATTTGCAATCATTAGCTGCTAAAATGAGACTTAGGCCCTGCATCCACTTTTGAAAAATATGAAATTGGTGTGTCTGAAATGTGCCCCTTCAACATCCACATATCTTTGAAAAAGGTACAAATGGGGGTATTGTTGTACTAAGACGACATAGCTGAGCAACATATTAGGTATTATACTGCCGTAGCACACATAAGGATAGCAAAATATACAGTAACATCTCCAAGTGTGTGTCAAAAAGGCAGAATAAAAATGCTAATTGCTACTAGACTTGTTACAAACTAGCAAAAAATTATCCTACACTAAGGTTTACAATATGCCTTTTGAAATACCCTGGGGTGTCTACTTTTACAAATGGTAGGCCTTTGTGGGTTTTTTTGTGGGGTTTTTTTAAAGTCAAACTGCTATAATGCCCCAAATTGAAACATAGGCCGATCAAATTCGTCTCTCAAAATTCTACTGTAAATACTGAAATGGACAGGTCTACTATATGG